AATATACTGCAAAAAGCAGTTTGTTTTCAGTCCTGTGTGAGGCTTGCTATCAGGTTTTGAAAGTTATTTTCAGAAGTAGCCTTCCTTAGCAGACATTTTCTGGGATGCAGTTAGTGTTCAACTTGCCAGGTGCCTGATGTGCAATGCAGTGACATTACCAGGCTGATTACTTGGATGGCTCTGAAATGAAGGTGTCTGGTTAGGACTGTTGGCTAGTCAGAAGAAAAGGCACTAATTAAATATTTCTTGCCTTTTCAGGTTTGTCCCTCTGATTAACCACTCTAAAAGTCACTCCAGGGAAAACCATGAAGTTATCTTTAAAACGGAGAGGCATGATTAAACATTCCTCTGCTAATAAGAAAAAAAAAAAAAAAAAAGAAAAAAGGCAAAAGCAAAGCAATCAGCTCCAGCAAGGCTAGCACGTTATTGCTGTATTCAAACTAACTCTTAACCCTTTCAGTCTGGCAGATGAAAGCACAAGCGGTCTCATGGAATTTGCCAAAGAATCTCATTGCCATACACCATTTGACCAAATTTTCTTGTTTTCCCGAGCTAAATTTGCTACCAAATATGTATCTATATCCACACACATAGATGGATATCCATTGGGCATCTTCTTTAAGACAAACCATATTCCCGAATTTAACATACACCAAACCTGTAGTAGTGATTAGTAAACTGTTACCATTGCCAGTTTCTTACACCTGAACCTTTCACCTTGTTTTCAGTGAAAGCAGTTCCAATGCACCAACGTACAGGTCGGTGCCTAACCAGAGCTCTAATTTTATTCTTCAAATTACAAATATGTCAACTAGGAGGCTACCTTCATGATCAGCATTTCCACCAGTCTTTTACCAAAGCCATGGTGGGTTTGAGGGGATCTTTTCCTCTCTTTCTTATTTGCTAACGCCTGGGAGGCCTTTACTCAAAATTTCCTTGCTTGCTACTGCCAAAATTAAAGCCTTAATACCACAACAAGATCTATGCTAAGTTCACAGTGTCACAGACTTGTTCTGTGACCTTTGACAAAGTACTTTATCACAAACATTTATACGACTGTGATTTCAGCAATATATTTATAGGGTCCAGTACGTTGCAAGAGAAACCTCCTTTATCAGTGAAAGTATAGCATCATTAGTGTCAGTTCACTACTAATACAAAAAATGCAGGTAACACTTTCGTTTCTTACGTTTCATTCCTTACTTGGTAACTCTTTGAATGGGACAACTCTGCTGTCTTCTAAAGGATGCATATACACAAAACCTGTACAATGGTCTCCAGTTGTAACAAGGGCCCCTATGAAAATATATCCTTTGACGGGATTTTTTTTTTTAATTAAACATTATTTCTGGAAAAATATTCCTATCTACTGACAGGACTGCTCTCAGGTAGACTAAGTCTGAAAGTAAAACTACTGTTAGATTTGCTAGCTATGGTAAAGGACATAAAATAGCACATTGCAGGTTTTTAACCCCAGATTGGCTGTAAAGCTTCAAAAGTTTAAGTTGTTTGCTTCAATTTCATAGCCTCTATAACCTTTAAAATATTGGCAAGATTTCTGCAGACCAAAAGCTCACCAAAGTCATAAGTAAGATGTACTCCCAAACTTCCCTGTTTGGAATTAAAATAAAATCCTGTAACGTAGCTCTGGAAAAAGAAACCCTCAATGGTACAAAATGTAACTGCCTCTCCAGGCCCAAATCTGTATTTGAATGTCCTTGTGGCAAGACCTTAAGGTATTCAGAGGAGCGAGATGGAGCTGCTTTTGCCTTTTACTGAAAGCACTCCACAAACACTGACAGCCTTTTTGGTCTTCAGAGGTAGCGTTACCAGACTGCAGCAAGATAGAGAACACTTTCTTCTGCTAGGTGAAACAAGAAAATTGCAAACAAATCTCCTCCCTGCTCATTACGTCTGTGCATGGCACAGCCTTTCTTCTTCCCTTGCTCTCAGTCCAGCAGGATTTCCCAAAGTTACAACAATCTGTAGCTACAGAGGCTCCTTTGGATCCCTAGGAAATTTTCCTTTTTCTCTTCCCCTTTGAAACTCAGATGTGAGTCTTTCTACAACTCTTCTCCACATCCCCACCTGTGCTGCAAAATCCCAGCTCAGTGTCTCCTTCCCACCTAACTCCTCCCCTGGAAACTTCCCCAAATGAGTTTTCTCAGGTGCTTTCTGGCACTGTCTTTCCCTCACCCCCCAAAATCACACAGTCAGGCTCAATATTCGGTGGCAGACAGCACAACGCAAGGCAACAGTCCTCCTCCTGCTGCACAGCCACATGCTTCTACCAGAAAGGCCAGCAAAATACCATAAAGGGTGAAGAATCACACACAAAAGGTATCATCTCCGTCAGAACTTGGAAAACGATGTGCTTTTCGGGCTGCACTGAGATGGTTCACCCAACAGAAATCTTTCCCAGTGGTGTCTATATTGTTTCCAAAAAAGTCCCTTATGCCAGTGGATAAATTTAATTGTGCATCTCACTAATACCAGACACGAGGGCTATTTTGTATATTCATAAACTATTCTGCTTAGTACAGAAGGAGCCATTTCTGTAAAATTAAGTTCAGTCTTACTTTTGGTGCATGTGTTGCTGCTGTTTGTATGGAACTAGCATGGAGGGGTTTATCTCAAAACACGTTGATCCACTGCAGAAATGCTACACAAAAAATCAGGAGAGAGTTTGGGCCCTAGAAAGTATACAACCTAGATGGTCCCAAACACAGGCACATCCCTTTAAAATATTACTCTGATTTTGTGAGATTAAAGATCGAGTTATTACTTTCTTTGAACTCTTACTCTGAGATGTCTTAGAGAAGACCTGGCAGAACCCAATCTTCACTGTATTTAAAGATATTTTCTGAATCCTTATCTGTTCAGATACAGTTTACGGAGACTCATGTCTTGGTTTTTGTCAAAGATAACTGAGGGGTTACACGGGTCTAAACATAACTCTTCATATCAGCAGTAAGACTCGAGGAAACTCTGAATTGCAGCACTTTATACTGAAAGGATCCCTAAATGATTCTTTTCTTCTCACAATCACTCAAGATCTTGAAAGTCCAGAGAGTAGCCTCAAGTCTCTCATTCCCATAAATTTAACAGAGGTCACAGCATGGCCAATTCAGCTGAAAAGTGTTATTACAGAAAAACTTGATGATACTTTTATGTTCACTGATGTGAACATAATTCTCTGGGTCTTTTAGCTACATATAGCATGTCTTATCCATAGAGACACTTCAGCAGATATATATGGTACCACGAGCAAAGTTAAAAGTGATGAATTCTCTGATTTATAACTTCTACTGATAACAAGATGATAGAAAATCTTAAATGTATGGAGTTATTATATACACTGTGTAACTTTGCTCAGCAGAGAAAGGATGTGAAAGAAGAAATATTTATCACACCTGAACTAGGGGGACACTTCCTTGAATGACCCTTGTTGCCTGTAAAGAATTGAGCTGATCTCTAACAAACGCACAAAAATCTCAAAGATAGGGTTGGCTTTGTAGGTGCTAAGTGTGGATGTGGGTCTATAATCCTTCTTGCTTTTAAGGGTCACATGCAGGGAGAAAGATGCTTATATAGAAGAGCTTTTTTTGTCTTGACAGGTTTAATCTAAAGAGATCTCAAACTGCTAAATTGACATTGCACCTCCTAAAGATTAACCACTGGATTTTAACTATCTAGACACAAGAAACTAATTATTATAACTAAACCAATTAGTGATGAGGACTAGACAAACAGGCCAGATTCTCCTCCCATTTTAAAGCTTTGGTGGCTGGCAGAACTGGACTCAACGAGAGTCCCTTGGTTATACCCCATGGAAAGCAGAGGCTGCGCTCATCCACGTTAGGCTGCAGGCTCCTGGGCACTGGTCTCCGTGTGACCCAGGAGGTTAAGCACACAACCTAGATAAATATTAATTTGTTAATCTTTCTTAAAAATCTACTTTTAAAGCTGATTCGTAGTGAAGTCACTTAGTCAGATGAAATCATTGCATACTAAACAATCCTGTTAGGGATGTTTATCCAAGCAAAGGACATTCAATTGCATTTTCATTAGTAGCACTATATGGTTATTGTCCTTAAAGGCAAGGCTCTTAAACTTAATCTATTTGCTTACAGTTCAATTTTCTTAAGAACTAAAAGCTAATTTCTACTACTCTTTGGCATTACAACATCAGGTTGCCTGTAGATTAAAAAAGAAATCTTTGAGGACCGATGGTGGTCCTGCCCAGTATTGCCGCTCTGCCAGTGCTAAGGACTCTCCGAAACTTTAAGGACTTGTGGGTTATCTAATTCTAACGATGCACATTATTAAACAGAACATTATTTAATGAGAAAGTCACTGGCCGTGATGAACAGCAGGCAATTTATCTATCAGGAAGAGTATTTTTTTAAAACAGAAAATATGTTTCTCTCTGCTAAATTCTGTACGGCTCAAGATGGGAAAGATGGTTGATCTCATCCTTTTCACTTTCTACAGCAGTTTTCTGGAAGGACAAGTCCTCCCCTTAAATGAGGGGGAGAGTTTCTGGTTTCCTTGCCTTGTATCACTCTCTGCTGTCCTACCCGCAGGACAAGGGCAGCAGAGCCTAAGGCAGAGTTCACCACTGGCTTACTGAAATAAGTAAGTAGCTGTCTGAGACTCCTCCTCTGACTTCAATCTCAAGACAGCCATGGATTTGGGGAGCCTGAAGTTGAGCCTTTCTTTTTGAAAATGGGGAAAAATATAGTTGCTTTCCTAACAGTGCTTTTTAGTTTTTAGCTTATTATCTGCTCTCTTGACTATCCCTTCTGGGAAGATGACACTGCATTTTACACTACGTTCACATGTATTTGTACTGATTTTTGTAGTGCTAACTTTAACTAAAGTCAGGGTGTATTTTACTTAGAAGTCAGTTTTCTCCATTTATCAGTTACAAAAAGCATTTCTAGCTAACAAAAGGTGTATTATAACATTAGTAAATAACGTTTTTGTTTCTTGTACAGCTTTTCAGTAAAGGTGCTGCTACAGATGATACCCTTGAGTCATCTCCAGAAGATATTTCCAGTATCGCCAGTTTTATTGAGACAAAGCTTGTAACCTGCTACTTAAAACTGAGGAAGCTTGATGAGGCTCTGAATCATTCACACAGGTAAAAATAAATATTGATTAGATACACTGCTAAGACTGAAATCAAAAATTAAACAAAGACTATGAATAAATCCTGTGCAGGAAGAATCAGTCTAATAATAAGAGGAATCAATAAAACACAACTTACACATGGCACTGACATTTAGATTGGACTAATTCTCAAAATTCGAGACATTAAGCCACATAAACATGTATACATTTACTGCTTTGATAATGCAGTAGGTAAGGATAATGCAGGTGAGTCACGTACATAGTTCAGGGCACCCTTAAAATTGAAGCTAGACAAATATAAACATGCTCAGCCTTATAGGATAGTAATGATATTATGAGAGCTCTTGATCTTTTTCAAGCCAGATTAGGTCAGGGATGGCTTCAAATTATTTTCATTACATAATTCCTCATGGGCTCACTTGTGATCCACAGCAAAGACCAGCACCACCAGCAATGCATAAAGAGCCCAGAAACAAAACTTCCACATGGTGAAGATGAAATTCCCATTAGTTTCAGATGAGTTAGGATTTTGCTGGGTTTGTGCTGCCTTTAATTAGCACTCAGGCATAACGATAGTTTCTGTTAAGCGCATGCACGTCCTGCCAGCAACACTTCATTACTGAAGTCTCCATCCATATTTTCCCTTCTATGAGAGATATTAAGATGGACACTGCAATTAGCGCAGGGTGAGGATTTTTCATACAATCATCTCAAACGAATGTAACTACAAAAGAGTAGTTACGACAAAAGAGGAGGCACATGCTTATGCATGATGCACAGGAGACAGCGGTGAAGAATAACGTGTTGGTCTAGAAACGTAATGTTGTCATGGCAGAAGGTTCATTTAGCTACATGCAAAGTCATGGGAAGTCTGAGAATCCCGACTTAATGGCAAGGTCTTTATCTGCTGTCCCTACTCATCCCCACACCTTTCCCAAGCATTTTTTGTCTGTAAAGCTATGCCTACCTGGAGCCTATACACACTGGGGGGGTGCATCCTTCAGACTAGTTCCAAGCACCATTGTGGGTTGACAGCCTGAACGCCCACGAGTGGTTAGGGAACATTATGTGCACTCCCAGGGCACATCTAGCACGGATACAGCCTGTATTCCTTTCAGGTGGAGTATTCTGTTAGGTGAGCCAAAGCATAGGAAGTGGGGAAGACTATGAGATTCCCATAAAAAACCCCAAAAAACCCAAACACACACACACACAAAAAAACAAACAACCCAACAAGAAAAATCCCAGAATGCGCTCCGCATGCAAACTAAAAACCAACCACATCTTTTCATGGCTTCTCAAAGACGATATTAGAAAAGAAAAAAAAAATTTATATATATATATATAAAGTTTGACTGGACTCCCAACTTTTGGGAAAATGGTAATGATAGCTCTCTTATTCTAACTTTGATTTCCAAGAACACTAAAATAAGGAAGCTATTTGGACAGTATCAATATAACTAGAACAGGAAATACTTTTCTTTACCTCCTTTAAATTATCTTTCTTTCAAAATAGGAAGATGCATTGACCCCGGTGCTACAGAACCTAAAGCCTATTCAGACAAGCTTTGGTTTCAATTGTCTTAAAACAGAAACCATGACCTAAGAAACCCATGACCTACAGGGAAAATAAATGCAGTCAGATTGAGATCACTGGAAAACCTGAAGGAAGGAAAAAATCCTTCACTTTTCTTTCTAATATGTTATTCTAACAATTTGTTCTTAACTCCTTTAGTTACATAGCACAAAGAAAAGTGGCAGTCAGTAATGCCTATTTTCAATATAATTCTTCTAATAACTTGCAGAATGGGAATAAATCTACTGACCATAGTTGTCACATTATGAAATGCAGGAACTGATACAATAGTATACCAATAAAAAATATTCTGAGACATAATTAACACATAGACAAAACTTGAAATACAATCAATAGCTATATTTTTTGAAAAGAGAAAATAAATTACTCTGAGCTCTCCTACTAAAAATAGCTTACTGCCATCAGTTAACTAGTGCATATGAAATTTTTATTCCCATTGAGTTTTTATGTCATCACCACATTGTAATGGTTTGCTGGTAATCCTTTGCCTTTAATCATGAATCCAAATTAAAATATTCGTTTCTGCATTTATTTGCATTTACTGAACTATTCTTTCTTTAATTTCATGTAAATTTCACAGCTCCTGCATTCATTTCTAAAGCCTTATTAACCAAAAATCAGCTTTAATATTCTCACACATAGTTGTATCAAATATATAGAAGTGGGGTTTGCTAGAAAGAAATCTTAGGAAGTATCACAACTAAGGAAACAGAGAAAAATTCCAGCAGTTCAGCTTTAAAGTCTTCAAGAACAGGCATCTTCAGGGGAATCGCTTTCCCATTCTTAATAAAGGAAAGGGAGGACAATTTATATCATCAGCTTTAGATCCTGTATGAGAAGCCACGTCTGGGTCCTCCTGAAAAGTGGAAATTGTATTCTCCGGTTTCTTAACATCAAAATTTAAGGCTGCCTTTAGTATCACTGGCACAATTGAGGACACCGGCTGGGTTCTGATCACTCATCAGGCGGATACAAAAGATTTACCCTTTGCGATCAAACCCTATTAAAACCACTTCCCATCCGTCACAGCTCTGAACAAACGTGCCACGGATTGACCTGACCAAGCAACATCTGCAGTCACCTACTTGACCACCATTTTCATCATAAGATAGCCATCAAAATAATTCCTAACTTGCAGTCTGAAGCTATAAAATGAATCACACAATATTTACATGCCCTGTGGTCCTTTTGGCCCAGGCATTATGGCATACCAGGGTTTAATGATCTTAATAACCCCATATGGCTTGCTGAGAAATTAGATTTTCCCTTTGGTTGCAGAAGGCAATTTTCAATTATAGCAGATGGCAAAACAGTGAAGGTCTGAGAAGTCAAGAACTGACTAAGAAACCTCAGATTAGTACTTAGGCCTTATGTTGCTCAGCCTAATAATGTCAGTGGTTGAATTTTTGGCTCAAGTGAAAACAATCTTGAAGCAGAGCATAGCATTTCAGCAGAGCAGTCCCCCAATTACGCCTGCTCTTCAGAGGGCCAGGCCCAACAGAGAAATCCATAAAGCTGCAGGCGCATGTGGAAAAACAACCCACAGCGCATCACGTACACAACCCAGCAACTGTTAAGATTCAATTTTGTTTGAAATTGGAGAGTGCAATGCTGAACTCCATGACAATTGAAGATGGAGGATCCTTCAAGACATGATATACACAACTTTCTCGATGAGATTCTATATCCCCTTACAGTTTCTTTGGTTATTTTGCTTTTTTCCTCCAAGCAAGCCAAAATAAATCTGCAATGACGCCACGTGACCTGCTGTTTGCACATGGGAATATAAACACAGAACCTTTCTATTAGAAATATGTTTTTTGCCGCTGCACTTGCACTTTCTCAGCTGCTATGGTCCTCATGGCACACAAGATTTGAAGAATGACAGGCACGTGGCTCGAGCCGGTTGCCTAAACATAGACTGCTGTTCGTGGAGATCCTGTACGTGGATCAAGCACTAGAAAATGTGGACGAGGTTAACGTCACCTACCCGGCAGCAAGTGACGAAGAGCATCGTGTTTCGTTTCTGCCTACTTCTGATCCCTCCCTGCCCAGCTGTAGCATGGCTGCTGGTGCCGTAGGACTCCTCTGGAAATAAGCTCCTCAGCAGGGGAACAAGGCTGCCCAGCATAGGTGAAAAGTCACACCTCTTCCCAATGGGATTGCCATCATGCTGTCAGAAGCCCACGGCTGGTGGTGGGAGGTGCATTGGGAAGTGCCATCTGGAAGGACGTTTGTGACCTGCATCCTCCCAGAGCATCCCTGGGCTCTGCTCCCTGCCCTCCTTCCCTCGATCTGGAAATTGTGGACGTAAGGGCTGAGGGGAGGAAGAGGAATCAGGCACTGTGGCATGTTTCTTTAACGTTACCGCTAAGTAATGCCTGAAAAATATGTTCATGATAATGAGGACTGCTGTACGGAGCTATCCAAAATCTTTGGGGGTTAGCAAAGATTTTCCTGTGTCCTTGCAGATTCTGCTCCGCAGCATGACCTGCTGCCAATTCTCTCCCTCCGTCCCAGAAAGGCAATGCATAGAGAATGTAATAAATCTGTAAAGCTTTTTCTGCTATGCCTTTTTATGTGTTCAGTGGAAGGCAGGGCCCTCTAATGCCTCTTGCACAATTCATAGGGAGACACATCAAGTAGAAAATAGCACCTCTGTTAAGTAGTACACGATTGCTTTAGTGATGACTTAACAGAGGGAATCTCTTATGGAGGCACAGTGGGAAAGAAAATCTACAACAGCTGAAGCCTCACAGATTTAATTCCAAATCCTTTGCATTTTTCCCAGTGACTTTTCAAACACAAAAGGCTTAAAATAATTATTAATGATCAAGCTTTATGCAATATCTGTCAGAAAAGAGGCATCTCAAAACTTGGTCAGTGTATTATAGACAGAATAAGTCAGGATTCTCTAATCCAGATTAATTCAGAACTTTGAGACTAAAAATTCAATATTCAGCTACTTCATTCCCTATCTTCCTTATTCTGCACCTTTAGAAGAGGACTATATTAAAGTAAATTGAAGAATGGAATTCTAGTGAAATATTAAATAATCAAAAGTAAATAATGCAACGATGGTATGATACAGTGCAGTCAGTGGGCATTAAAATGGAGACAGGTTAGAAGAAGAGATCAAGAGAATAGATTTTTAGGTAGAAATAGAAAAATGAGAAACATAATGGCTGATGCTGCTAATCTGTGGGAAGTCTGTACTGTAATGTATACTTTGCTCTAAACTACTCTTCTAATCTCTTTACCTCCTCAGAAAAAGGAGGAAAGAGAAAGAGAAGAATTAGCAGCACCTAATTACTTCAGCAATTGTGTTAGGCATATTGCAATATACATAATAGATGAGATATTATTAATACAAAGCTATTCCATTGAGATGCTCTGGATAATATAAACCAGAA